GCGCATTTGTTATTGTTTATTTTATTTATTATAAAAGTGTTTTAGAAAATAAAATAAAATAAGAACCATGCGTTGAAATCGATTTAATATGATTAAATTGATTTAAGTTGCAAAATTGATTTGCAAAATAATGTTTAATGTGAAATTGAATTTAAGAGTTAAAATTTGGAATTTCACATATCCGAAAAATAAATTGTTTATTTTTTGATTTGAAAACCATGAGATGTTTTTTCAAATAAAATACATATTTGCAAAATAATGAGTAGGAGAGGGTTGTATGAAAATGCGACCCACTGGTCTCCATCATTAGTTCAACACCGTAAGATTCGAAAGGGGCTTCGCGGCGGCACCGCTTCCGCACTCCCTACGCAAAGGGTTCTTTCGGATCAATAACAAGGTTGACTTCCTAGCGATAGGATTCAAGGATGTATTTTCGGTTTGACCTACCCTACGGCGGCACTTCGGAGTTAAGTCTGTAGAATCTGAAATGATGGGTTACACTCATGAAAATGTAATCAATTTGTTGATTATATTTTTGACCAAAAATAATGGTAGTTGACAAATATGAAAAAAATGAGATTTTTTGATTATATTTATCAATTGAGAAGGTCTCGGTTCAATTTGTGATATTTTGACCTACCCTACGGTGGCACTATATTCGTGGTAAATTAGATTATCGTTGTCACCATAAAATTTTTGATTAGTACAAACGTTAAAGGTAAAGTAATTACTCACATATTCATCATCCTCATGACTGCCTTCAGAATCTTCATCACTCCAGGTGGCATTGAGAGACTTCTTATTCTTTTTGAGAGTATTTACACACTCAGTATGAATGTGTTCATAATCATCACATTCCCGACATTGAATTCCTCTATTTTTTGTCTTCACTTTTGAGCTTGTTTTTGCAGCTTCATTCTTCTAAGAATTGTTAGAGTTGCTGAATATTGGTGCGTTTTGTTCTTCATGTTGAACTTCTTAGTGCCATCAAGTAATGGAGGGTGTGTAACTGAACCTTCTTCCATTAGAAAGTCTATTTTTGCGATCACAGATCTATTCTCAAAATCTCACCAAGCAAACAGTTAGTGAACCGCTTTGATACCAAATGAAAGGTTTATTTTTTTTTTCGGCAGGTGTCACAATGAGTGCTATAACACTTTATGTAGTACTAACGATTGACTATAATGATTATGCTCAGAGACGTTAAAGAAATAAAGTAAGAAATAATGCAAAAAAATTAGCAGAAAAATTAAAGGACATGAGAAAATGATATCGCCATTTGGTTGAACAACCTACATCTGTAAGGTCATGCCCAGACAGTGAACAATCCACTAAGTTCTAAAGAATTATAGACACCAATCGAACTTATACACTTAAAGACTCCCTCATTGATGTTGTTGCTGCCGTGTCGAATCTCCTTAATAGCCTTGTCCAGCGAGAACCACTCGTCTTCAAATTACGTGGTGAAATTCCTTCGACTAGCAGTGCGCTTTCTTCTGAAAGCTTATAATCTTTATCTCGAAGGAGGATCTTTAATCAACATTCAAAGACTCATTAATCACAGACTTTCTCTTCTCTATAGAAGCACATTTTATATGGGCAACCTTGAATTACTATAAAACCTTAAAAACATAAAAGCGGAATATTCTCACTTCCAAGGCTACCAACTTAACGTACACACATAAGAATATATAGTAAGAGTTGGCGTGCTTCTAACGTGTAATCCAAGTCAAACTTGGATAGTTAATGATATACTCTTGATTTTTGCTTTTAACGGCAATAATATCTCCACACTTTTACATTATCTCCATCAAACCCAATATCAAATTCGGATCACTCATACCAATCTTTCAATTCTGGTGGTCACCCAAAATTCAACTTACAGATTGATATATAATCTTCTCATCATACTCTACTTTCCATTTCTAGCACCTCATCACCTTTATATCACAAAACTCTTAATGGTAATGATGATTAAATGCCAACTACATCCATTTCCCCCATGCCATGCAAAATAAGCCTCTAATCAAATTTCTCACATTACCAAAATACAATTAGCCCATTAAGACAATCAAAATATAATATTCCCTCCTCAAATAACTCTCTCATCAAATATATAATTATTTGCTTCCAAAATTTGATTTTCATCAACAAAAACATTCTATTTTCGGAACAATCAAACAACCAAAATCATCTCTAATTTTCTCTATAAACGTCAATTGCCAAAAATACTTGGTTTTGAATTTTTTACAATTAATGTCAACAATTGCCAACTAAAGTCCTAACATGTCCTTTTTTTTTTTTTTTTTCCTTTTCTTTAAACACAATTATTAGCCCCTCGATTAAAAAGAAGTTTTTAATTAAGTGAGACTCACATGTTGTTAATTTGAGGATAAATACTAAGGATTGAACTCATATGTCCTCGTATTCTTATTCTTTTTGTGTTTCCTTAAGATCATCTTAGAATAATAATTTGAGTCAGCATATAGAACCCACCCGTAGATAAATTTTTGACTTAACCACTAATAAAATTCGAGTCAAAACGGATTAGCCCGCATATTAGTATGAATATTGTATGTCATTTCGAGTTACCTGCCAACTAATTGACACGTAATAACACGTTTAATAAACTTGTCATCATTGAAATGAATAGAACTCGTTAATAACCCATTCATATTTTTACATTTGACGTTTGCGGGGTTAATCAAGATTTTTAATTTAGAGACTAATTCGCTAAACACGAGAAGTTCAGGGACATTCATGCAAATAAGTCTAAATTTAAAAAAATGTGTAAAATTAACTTTTCTGTGATTTAGGGTTTCATTTTCCCTCTCGATCATCACCCAGGTATCTCTGATTCTCTCTCACCCAGCCATGGCTCTGATCTGATCACCCTCCTCTTTCTTCTTCTTCTTCATCTTCTTCATCTTCTTCTTCTCATTGACTTTTCTTCTTTCTTCTTCCAGCTCTGTTCGCATCGGCCTTTGGAAGTAACAGACTGCGCAGCGTCGTCCCAGCTTCCTCGTCGGTGTCGTTTTGTGCATCTACGTCTCCGTCACACCAGTTTTCTCCACCAATCCTCGCCGGCTTGTCAAACGTAGCAGGTTCTTCCGTATTTTTGTTTACCTCGACTAGGCTCTTATAAATGTTCTGTTCTTTGTTCCAATTTCAGTAGTTGCTAAGCTGAGGAATAGGTTATATGTAACTTTGAAATATAGACATGCTTGTGTGTAGTCTAAGGGGTTGTTTGGAAGCTATACTCAAACTAAAATCATGATTCTCTGTAGTATTTTTTATCTCCCAGAGGGTTTCCTTCACAAAATATCCGCCAACAAACCCAAATCATGACCTGAGTATGCCTTCTAAACGGATCCTAAAGTTTTTATCTTTTTATCTTTTTTTTTTTCTTTTTTGTTAGGGTATTATATCTATAATTTTTGTTGTGTTAAAGCTAAAACGTTGAAGTTCTTTATCTTAACTCGAAGACCCAACATGTCATTGTTATGAGTAGATTGTACTTCAGTAGATAACATGTCGCTTGTGTCTCTGGTTGAATTGGCCGTGTCTACTCGCTCGGCTCGCCTCGGCCGAGTTGTCCATGCCCAAATCATTAGGAACCTTGGTTCTTCACTCCCTGCCTTTCTCTGTAACCACCTCGTCCACATGTACTCCAAACTCGACCTACCTGATTCAGCTCAACTCGTTCTCTCGCTCACCCCGTCTCGCTCCGTTGTCACGTGGAGCTCCCTCATTGCTGGTTGTGTCCACAATGGCCATTTTGCTTCCGCTTTGCATCATTTTAGTGGCATGCGTTTAGACTGTATTCAACCAAACGACTTCACTTTTCCTTGCATTTTCAAGGCCTCGGCGTCGCTTGGCATGTCATTTGTTGGAAGACAGGTTCATGCTGTTGCGTTTAAGATTGGCCAGATACATGATGTCTTTGTTGGATGTGGTGCCTTTGACATGTATTGCAAAACCGGTCTTTGGGATGATGCTTGTAAGGTGTTTGATGAAATGCCTGAGAGAAATAGTACAACTTGGAATGCATATATATCAAATGCGGTGCTTAGTGGGAGGCCTATTTATGGTATTAAGAAGTTTATTGAGTTTCTAAGGGTTGGCGGGGAACCTGATTCGATCACTTTCTGCTCATTTCTTAACGCATGTTCCGATATGTCGGATTTGGAGCTTGGGCGTCAATTACATGGGTTTGTGATTCGATGTGGATATGGAAAATATGTCAAAGTCATGAATGGGCTTATTGATTTTTATGGGAAGTGTCAGGAGGTTGAGTCTTCCGAGATGGTTTTTGATAGAATTCATCTACGAAATGATGTTTCTTGGTGCTCTATGATGGCCGTGTATGTGCAAAATGATGAAGAGGAAAATGCTTGTGAAGTCTTTTTGAAGGCTAGAAAAGAAGGCCTTGTTCCTAATGATTTTATGATTTCAACATTCCTAAGTGCTTGTGCTGGGTTGTCGGATTTCGATTTGGGTAGATCAGGCCACACTCTTGCAGTGAAGGCCTGTGTTGAGGGAAATATCTTTGTTGGGAGTGCACTTGTGGATATGTATGGTAAATGTGGAAGCATAAATGACGCGGAGCGTGAGTTCAATGAGATGCCTCATAGGAATTCAATCACTTGGAATGCAATGATAAATGGATATGCGCACCAAGGGCATGCAGACATGGCTTTGGCACTATGTGAGAAAATGACATCAAGCAATTGTGAGGTTCTACCAAATTATGTTACGTTAGTCTCTATATTATCGGCCTGTAGTAAAGCAGGTGCAGTGGAAAAGGGTATGGAGATTTTTGAGTCGATGAGAGCAAGGTATGGAGTTGAACCAGGGGTGGAGCATTACGCGTGTGTTGTGGACTTGTTAGGGCGTGCCGGTTTGGTAGAGCGTGCATATGAGTTTATCAAGAAGATGCCAATTCTCCCCACAACTTCAGTTTGGGGGGCTCTTCTCGGAGCTTGTAAAATGTATAGGAAATCTGAACTCGGTGAGATTGCAGCTGATAATTTATTTAAACTTGATCCTAAAGATTCGGGCAATCATGTGGTGCTTTCTAATATGTTTGCTGCTGCTGGCAGGTAATTATATACTAATCAAAAACCAATCTGTCTAGATTTTCTTTCTGGGGTCAAGTACTTTCACAAATAAATTGCTTAGCCTTAGATTCATTATTTTCTCCTAGAAATATTTAGAAATCTCACTTATGGGATGGTTTAGGAAGTAGAACGACATGAACTGAGCTTTTTTGTCATTTCAATTGTAGATGGGAAGAAGCCACTCTTGTGAGGAAGGAAATGAAAGATGTTGGGATTAAGAAAGGTGCAGGCTATAGTTGGATCACTGTAAAGAATACAGTCCATATCTTTCAAGCGAAGGATACATCCCACGAAAGAAACTCTGAGATTCAGGAAATGCTAACCAAGTTAAGGAGGATGGTGAAGGAGGCAGGCTATTTTCCTGACACCAATTATGCTCTATTTGATTTAGAAGAAGAAGAGAAAACATCAGAAGTTTGGTACCACAGTGAAAAACTTGCCCTTGCCTTTGGCCTAGTAGCCATTCCTCCTGGTGTACCAATCAGGATTACAAAAAACCTTAGGATATGTGGGGATTGCCATAGTGCCATAAAGTTCATATCAGGCATTGTAGGGAGAGAAATTATAGTGAGGGACAACAATCGGTTTCATCAATTCAAAGATGGCAAATGTTCTTGTAGAGATTATTGGTGATGATTCCATCTTATTTAACAAATTTACCAATCTTCAAACTTTAAATCCGCACTCTTTCACTCTCAATCAAGTTTTGTTTCTCGTCAAATTAGAATCCTAATTCTTGCACAATCCTCAGGCTTGCCTTTTTCTCCTAGGTTTCCTGTTTCACCTCTCTTGTTGGTTTTTTTTTCTTCTTTTTTTTTCGGTCGAGATTTTGTTATAGGTTTTCAGGCTGTATGATTTCAAAGCGAATAAAGAGCACTATGTTTTCTCATTTTATTTGCTTTTTATTTCAACTTGCAAAAATAAATTACAAAACGGTCAAACTATTTTGAAGATTGCAATTCTAATCATATTCTGGTTTATTGCTGATTTAATACAAGTAGTTGACTCAGATTGCTGATTTATTTGCCTTTTCAATGTTTCTTTATTTGAATTGAAATGACATCAATTTGAATCTCGACCATATGTTTGTAATTCTATGTTCAATCCCAGGTCTATGGCAGGCAATCTAATCTTCTCAGTGGTTTCTGACTAGTCCGTTTGTTTCAGCCTAGTTTTCTAAAAGGAATTTTCACTATTTTTTGTTTTTGTTTCTAGAAAGTAGAGATGAGCTTTTCTCAGATAACAAACAAAAACTTTGATCTAATGTGGAAGCTGAACTTGACATAAAGCTGAAGAATTCCCTGTGACCAGAGTTTGCAATCTTTGTTTCATTTTATTGTGCCAAAATTTCACTTCTTTTTGTGTCCTTTCCTAATGTGAGATTCATTCATGTTGCAATTGTGATTTGTATCAGTGAACACGTTGCCATGTTCTTGTTTTGGGTGTGGAAGTAACTGAATAATGTTGTAATATTGTCAACATCATAATGAAACAACCAATTAATTACATGAATTTGATATTTTCTGGCTATTTATTTTCTTTACAAGTCAGTGATGTTAATGGTTGCAAGTCTACACTTTACGTATAAAACCAACGGTTTCATTTGTTGCATTGTCTGCATTGCTTTCCAAACGTGGCCTATCTTTGCCGTCCATTTGGCTTGTGTTGTCTGAGTGTTTCCTACGCTGTAATATTTTTCTTACCTTTCCTCTTTCTTTGCAGTTCATCATGGCCAGTAGCATTGAAGGAGATCGCAGGGAACCTGTAAATGAGCAAGTAGTCGCGAACATGTATGCTTCTATGAGGTCTGAACTGAACCAAATTTACTCGAAGATCACTGAACTCGAGATGGAAGTGAGTGAGCACTCATTGGTGATTAATGCTATTCAGCCACTCGACCCATCTAGACGGTGCTATCGCATGATTGGAGGCGTGCTGGTGGAGAGAACCATCAAAGAGGTCTCGCCTGCTGTGCAGCGCAATAAGGAGGGCCTTGAGGAGGTCATTGCCCGGTTGAACGAGGCCTTGGAAAAGAAGAAAAAGGAGATTTCCGACTTTGAGGCCAAGTACAAAATTCGGATAAGAAAGGCCGATAACAATGAGAAACAAGATGAAAGTGCCCGAAAGGAAGGTTCTGCGCAGGGAGTCCTTGTGGGTCCTGCAGGTGGAAGTGAATGATTGATGCGTCTTGCAGTTTTTCCTCATTTTTGTTTTCTTGCTCTTCCTTAGTTGGAACTGTTTTCAGCTTTTGTTGCAGTGTAATTAGGCTTTGGAGATTTGGGTATTTGGTTGCTCCGATCGGTAGAATGTGGAGATGTTATTCAATATGGTACACTTTACGATTAGTGGCCTGCTATGCAAAGGTTTGGAATGAACTAAAGCTAAACTAACATGGATCATATCATGTTTTCAATTTGAAATGTAAAAACGTGAGTTTCAGCTTTCGGGATTTGTTAAATAGCATTTGAATGTCTCTGAGGTTGATTTGGGAGATTTTTAGCATGAACATTTGTCCTCCGTCTAAGGTTTTTTCTATGTACTTTACATGGTTCATACATGGTCCTATGGAGAGTGATGCCATGAAAAAATTGATGGTCAAGTCCTTAGGAGATTCTTTAGCAGATGCATTATTAAATAAAAAGAATTTGTGAAAATGTACTATGAGTATGACAGACGCTCTTGAATTGCTTGATAAATTTTGTGAAGTTTTACGTTTTGTTCATTTCACCGATTCGAGTTTTCAATTTTAGGTTTTTATAGTAAAAAACTCTAAAAAAATATCACATTTAATTTTTTCTGTTACAGTAAAAAACTCTTAGAAAATATAGCATCTCAGCTCGAATTGAAAACTCGAATTCGCGAAGTGAATGAGGCTTTAATCTAACATATTTCTCAAAAATATCCCCAATCAGACACTTGTATATAGTCCAACACTTTAAAATGAAGTACGTTTAGTTGGTATATTCGTGTCATGATTTAAATTATAATTTGTAATTTGTTATAATATTTTCTCTCATAAAACACATGAAAATTAAAAATAATTCTGAAGTATAATTTTAAATACATGAAATAACGTCCACTTAATTTACAAAACGTAAGTGTTACACAAACGTACCAATGACATTTTGCCATTTTGCCTATAATTTTGTTTATTTGATGGTTCAAAATTTATCCTATTCAGACGGACTATATCTAAAGATGTTATATCTCGAAGAATTGTAACGTTAAATTATCATTTTCCCCGTTGATAACTATCATCTTTAATAAATTATGATCTGTTGTTTTACACTTTCTTGGTCTAGTTATCCAAGTGCCATTCTCTGTAAGAGAATAACGGAAAGAACGGAGCCCAAAAATCTTAAATCCACTCCAAAATTCATTATCTTCTCTTCTTTGATCTCAACACTTGCAATCAAATCCCTGAACTTAAAAAAAAAAAAAAAAAAAAAAAAAACTTGAAATCCCCCCATTAGATATCACATTCATTCTCTCAGGTGAAGAAATCCTGAAATCCTCTACCGGCAAAGACCCGGTCGGAGAGCTCGGCCAAAACGGCATTGAGAGTGAGCAAAACGACACTCGAGCCAGCGATGACCCCCAATACGACCCAAGTCGTTCCCAAGACCTTTCCAAACGACGGCCACTCGATCTCCCTTATCTCCTTCGACACTCCGCCCAGCAGCCCTTCCCCTTCCTCTTTCTCCGCCGCCTTCCGCTCCTCCATCGCCTTCTTGATCTCCGATCCCAACTCGCTCAACTCGCCCTTCGACTCACTTTCGTTTGCGACCTCCGGCTCGGAGTTCCCTCGGCTTTCGTCAACGGCTTTCGTCGCCCAAAACGACTGCTTTCTTCTTATTCTTCTCTTGTCGGTTATTTTTGGAAACCTCGCTTGGAAGGGACAGTGGTAACGGACAGCTGTAGTTTTCCGTAGCGATGAAGAGGTCGTATGACCGGTGATCGGCGGTGTCGCCGGGAATTGTAAGGACATTGCTAGTGTCATGTTTGGGGAGGTGAGAGATTTTGAGTGAAGAGAAAGGATAACGCTGGGGGTGGTTTTGGTTTGGTTGCTAGGAGCCTGGGAGATTGCATTTAGACTTCATGGGCCGTAAACTGGGTTGGGCTGGTTTGATGCTTCACTTTTTTCAAGCCCATGTTCCGTTTTGGTTCGAGATAATCAGGGAACATGCCATGGGTATTCCCTTTGGATCGAGATATACCAAGGTATCAACTCTCTCATTCATTTTGTTGATTTAAGTTTTTAATTTGAGCTGAAATATAATTTTATATAAAAGTTTTTAACTGTAACAGAAAAAATTAAATGTGATTTTTTAAGCTTTTAATTGTAACAAAATTAAAATTGAAAACTTTATTCGGTGAAATGAACGAGGCATGAAACTCTCTTAGAGCTCGTTTAGTTCACTGATTCGAGTTTTTAATTCAAGTTAATATGTGACTTTATGTTAGAGCTTTTAACTATAGCTAAAAAGTTAGATCTAATTATTTCTTAGAGCTTTTTACTACAATGTGACTTTATGTTAGAGCTTTTTACTATAGCTAAAAAGTTAGATCTAACTATTTCTTAGAGCTTTTTACTGTAGTAAAACTTGAATTATAAACTCGAATCGGTGAAATAAACGAGATTTTGTTTTCTGTAATATTAAGGGGTTATTCTTTTGCAACAAAACTCAAAAAAAGTTTAAACTCAAGTTACAACTTTATTCAAGTTCACGTTCTTTTAAGTTCTAACTTTATTCAACTTTACTCAATTTTATTCAAGTTACAACTTTAACTCAAATTATAACTCAAATTCAACTCAAAAACTACACTCAAGTCACACTCCAAAAGAACAACCCCTAATTTTTTAAAAATACCAAAATATCCCCAGGTTTTTCTTCTCTATCTCTCTTTCTCTCTCCCTCCATTTCCTCTACAGCCACCATCTCTGTCTCTCTCTCCTTCTCTTTCTTCTCCAGCCGCCGGCACCAAGCTTTGCTCACGCGGTTCTCAACCTGAGCGGCTCTCCACTTAACTTCTATTGCCATTCGACTCCCTCAGGTTGCTTCCTCTGGCCGGGTCTCCCTCTTTCGTTGCCGCATGTAGAGATCTCTCATATTTGGTTTCTTTTCTCTCTTTCTCTCCCTCGCGCGCTTGCCAGCTCCCTCTAGTCGGAGATTGAAACTTTGCCACGATGCTGAGTTCCGGGCCTCCTACTTCGCTCAACTCCAACCTCGTGGAAGTGTTCTTCTTTCCGTTCATCAATGAGAGTGCACGAATCTGTACCCCGGCAAGAAGATCTACCAAAGTCGTGGATTTCTCCCACGAGCGTCGTCTCTTCTAGATCTACCATGGTCGAGCAATAACAATCAATTTTTTTATCTTTTTTTTGGTTTAGTAGTTGTGGATTCTGTGAATGTTTGGTTCATTTATGTGATTTTGATTTTTCTGGTGATTTGGTTTCCCGGCTGCCAGTCGCTGTAATGGTGGTTTCTGGCAGATTTGGGTGGTTACCGGTCGGTGACTCGTTGGTTACCAATTGGTAACTGGTATCTTAGCGGATACCAGTCGGTATCTTGACCAAATACCAGTGACTTTTTAGTGCCAGTGGTTACGGCTGCTAATACTGCCGCCAGATATGGTCGGGTATCTTAGTTAGGATACCGGCAAGTATTTCAATTGGATAGTACTAGTATCGTGAGACCTACCGCCTAAGGGTATATTTGATATTTGAATTACATTATGATGACGTGGTTATGGTATTCTTTCTAAGAAGAGACATTTGTAAATATCTCTTCATATATGTCAATTCAAGCTTAAAATTTATAACTTTTCTCTTTAAAGTCCTTTTGGTTCCTGATCGGTGCGAAAATAACACCTATTTTCTACTCGCAAGTGCACGAGGTCGACAAGTAATAAAGTAGTGAGTGAGTGTCGTGTCCCACGAGGATTGTGTTCCTAAAGTCTAGCTAAGTATCACAACTAGAATAACTCAGTTTTATCTAGACAAGTCCAATCATGAGAATGAGATCAATCAAAATAAAAATAAAATGCTAAACTAATTAGACGAGCAAACTAAACAATGGAAGAAACTTTTGCGATCGAAGGGGGCTCTAATGATAAGGTAGCTAGGGTCCTTGATTTCACCTTGCCTAATTATTCTAATCCTTTTTAATGCTATTGATTTCCCTCAAGCCAAACATTCATCATGAATTTCCTAAAATAATCCAACTCCCTCTCTCGAGTGCCGAGTCAAATATATGCAAAACCACCTAATTAATATCCCTATTAATTAAGTTAATTGTGCATTCATTAAGCTCTAATTCATTTGTGATTACCTAGCTCATATTCATCTCTCGATTCCAATACTCACTAGGCTGTGTTCAACAAATCCCAACATATCTAAATCTTCTAATCAATCTTTCAATTTATTAAAGCATTAAGCAAAGAAGAGCACAAATGTTTGGGAATGAAAAACATCAAATAGCATCAAATATTCATAGCATAATCGTAGCAAAGTTACATCAAGTCCCCTAGCATAAGAATCTAACCACCCATCAATGTAAACTCAAATATATTCAAGATTAAACAAATCTGAAAATACATGATAAATCCGCAAAAATAGAGAAAATACTAAGTCTAAGAACAAGAGAAAGGGAGAGGAAGAAAAATAAAACTCAGTGTAGTCCAGCTTCCAATCTCCAAGAGCTTCCCTGATTCCCCAGAAAAACTAGGGTTTTCTCCTCTCTGTCTGCTGCCCCCAAAAACTAGGGTTTTTCCTTTGTCTCTGTTGTCTCCAAAACTCCCCTTTGCTCTCTGTATCCCTCTCCTTTTTGCCCGGCCAAATTCTATATGCCCCGAAAATGGCCTCAGCTAGCCAGAGCCCTCAGAGTGCGCAGGCGCGCGCATGGGTTGGAGGAACGGCGCGCGGGCGCGCGCCTGAAGTTGGTGGAACGCGCCTAGCGCACGGGCGCGCGCCTTAAGTCGCACGGGCGCGCTGGGGGGGGCCAGGGCGCGGGTGCGCACTGGTTCCTTGATGTGGGCGCGCGCTGTTCCCTGATGTGGGCGCGCGCTGGTCCCTGATGTGGGCGCGCGGGTGCGCGCTGGAGTCCCTGATGTGGGCGCGTGGGCGCGCATTGGTTTCGGGCTCCTGTTGACGTTTTTTCTTCCAAGTGATCCAATTCTTCTTTGTTTACCTGAATCACTCACAAACATATTAAAACAACCTAAAAACTTGAAGATACAAGCAATTATTCAATTTTAGGACATTAAATAAATGAGTTAAAACTCACTCATCAGTTCCTTTACTGGGTGCAATTAGGGGTGTAAGTAGGCCGGGTAGGCTCGGGTTGGGCCTAAAATTTTGGCCTAGCCATCACATTCGGGGTGAGGGAAATTTGGGCCGCAGCATTATATTTGGCTCACAAATCCGTAACCCTTCGGGTTATCTCGGATAAACTCAGTTTTGCAGGCTGGGCGGGTTGGGCCTGGACTGGCAACATGTTGGAAAGCAAAGTATTGTTTTAGCAACCAACCATTAATGAGATTTTGAGTTACAATTTCGGTGGCCTTTGGAGGAGAGACACGATACAATGACAGAGGAAGCTTACATGCCACGACCCAAATGTTCACTCATCTTAAATGCCACGAGTCCCAAAAATGCCACATGTAATTTAATTTTTTTTTATTGAAAAATCAGTTTTCAATTCTAATACACTTGGTTAATATTTTCGAAATAAAAAGTAAATTTCTTTCTCTTTTTTGAACTTTTCTCAGAAGATTGAAAAAACAAAATCTTCACGACTCCATGATTCCATTTTTGCACAATCGTATCAGAGATTTCCATAAATCTGATGTTCCATAAGTCTGAGGACTGAGGAAGTGAGAGGGAGATAGGCTGAGCTTGAGAGCCTTTGGCTCTGCTTCTAAGAAGAAACGGCAAGGGAGTAAGGACGGTGACTCGGCGAGTGTGAGAAGAAAAAGAAGAACGGCGTCATAGAGGGAGGCTAGTAGAGAGAGAGACTAAGAAGTGAGAGAGACTGAGAGAGAGAGAGGCTGAGGAGTGGGAGCTGCTGAGCGGTGCAAAGAGAGAGAGGAAAGAGGGAGATATCATACTGAGAGTTAGGGCATTGGGGTTTTTTTTTTCTCATTGATCTCATCGGCCGGGTCGGAGAGTATCGGGCAAAAGAAAGCCCGCCTTGCGGCCCAACCCGTAATGTGTGGGTTGGGCCTATTTGAATTTGAGAAAAGAAAAGAAAAAGAAATCCACAAATTTCGTGTAG